CATGGAAGCCAAGAACTCCTGAGCTGCCGCCGACGTCTCACCCGCTGATGGAAGGTTGAAATCCCCCAAGACCATAAGTCTGGGGGTCCCAACCGCCACCCCGGCTATCACGTCAGCTAGCTCAGGCAGGGCTGTTGATACATAGCAGGGAGCCAGGTATATAATCAGCAAGCCCACTTGAACCCCTTGCCCCCATTTCTTACCGTCCATCCATGTATAACCACAAAAGTTTTACTGGTATGATTGAAGTTGCAATCTGCTACACTTCTTTCCTGTCCAGGAACTAGGTGACAAATGTCTTCATCAGGCTTTTCAGGTATTCTTAAAGAAAATTTACTCTCAATACCACTGAAGTCTTTCTCGTTTTCTATAATGTTTCCTGAAGTTAAAAAAAGAAAGGGAATTTTTAGGTGGTATGAAAGAAAGGAACTGTCAGCAAATAACATGAATAGCCTATTTAAGATTCTCCCTGATATAGAAATCAATAAAATAAGTAGGAAGCTAAGTGATTCAGCACTAATAGTGATTTATTAGCATCCCCAGTAGCATCAAACAGGGCACAGATGGGCCACCAAGAGAACTGTTTAATCTAGTACATCTTTGATACAGATTTCTGCAGTGGCAGCTAAAAAGACAAACAAGCCACCTATTTTATTGATTCTTTAAGTTTCCATACAATGAAGCTAAGCAAGAATATTATTTTCAGATGACAGAGGGCAGGAAAAGTCACAATATAATACCTATCATTTTATTTTATTACAGTAGGTTCAGCTCTATATTGCTTATGAGCAGTTTATAAACACTTCCAGTTTATGCCTAAAGTATTCCTTCTGTTAGATGGGTGTTTACTGATACATTTCTTTTCACCATAAATTTTATACAGACCTTAATTTTTAGCCTTCATCACTAGCTTCCATTTAACTGTTTAATAAAAGCTGAGGCAAAAAAGCAGAAAATATTATCATACCATATTCAAGAAGTGGCACAAAATGTTTTTTTACAAATTTACTCAATTTAAACCAATTTTGAAAGATTTTAATAAAATGTTATGGATTTGCAATACCCTATTATTGTTACTGTGAATATATTTTATGTAACAAATATATTTCCTGTTGGAGTACGTTTTGATTATGGTACGGATGGTGAATGTCATCAGAAGCAAAGCAAATTTGCCTGCAAAATTATGTAATAGTTGATTAAACTCATTCCACATTTCAGTCAAAAAAATGGTCCATAAGTTGTCCTGGCACCCTTTTAAGATATGCTTTAAAAACTTGCATTTACATTTGACACAACTTGTACAGCACTCGGACAATAATAAGAACATTAAACACCAGCTACATGCAACATGTGGGTAAATTAATCTACAAAATGTCCACTTAAAAAGAGTTAAAAGTAGCAGGATAAGAGAAAACCCAATACTTTGGAAACTACCATTAGTTAAGAATTATTGTTTGTTTTGATGAAAGGCAACTTTATGGTCTCCCTAGATATATATATTTTTACAAGAAGTTAGCAGTTGGGTACAAGCAATCATGACAAAGAACTAGCTTTGCTTGCAGAAGTTATACTTTACATAGAGCAACCACAGGTGAGAATACAATGGCTCCTGTGTTATGACTTACTTAAAATAAAAATCAGTGAAATGAGTGCTTTCATATTAAACTGCACGTAGAGAGGGAAGGAAGGAGTTGATTTATGCATTTCCAAGATTGTTGAAAGCCAAAGGTTTATTGTACTTCTCATGAGGTCTCTGTTCAATAAAGGTAAGTAACCTGTGACAAAGCTGAAGCTATTTTAAATCTATCCCATATAGATGAAAAGCTGTCCCAGGCACTTTTCAGCAGGGATAAAGTAAGAGAAGTACAATGAATCAGGGGTCCTTGGCACTATGCTACCTAGTTTGGGTGATGAAACATCTGCAAGAAATCAACCAAGCTCAGAGAGCATCAAGGATCCCTCATTTCAACCCTGACTTACAAATAGTCTCCTTTATTGGTACAATGAATCAGCCCAATTTTGCCTTTTCATTTATGTATCACACCCTGAGTTCTATTTCCTAATATACTAAAGAGTCCCTAAGTTGATTTTTTGAATCCATCAGCAAAGTAAATCTTTGCAGCCATCAAATAGATATGTCACATACACAAAACTATTATTCACTAGGCTGCCCACACTGAATACCTTACAAAAGTTTTGGATTACAATTTTCAGGCTATTTGATAATGATAAGTCATAACACTCCTGGAAAGCACTAAGTCGGGAAAGACTGTGCAAAATATTGCTCTTTTACAAAGATTAGAAAGCATTTTAACATAATCCTCACGGCCACAGTCTGAATTGTTTTCTGAACAGGCAAACCACAAACTCATCCCTTAGTTTTCTAGGTAACACATGTCCTACTTGGTCTAGCTCCATCTCTCAAATATTTGTTCATCTTTTGGTAACACAAATGTCAACAAACCTGCACTGCTTATTACTCGATTTTGCATTTGATGTATAATTTCCATGGTGATATTGCAACACGCCTGAAATGCATTTGTGAACTTCAAAGACAGCAAAAACAAAATTAAAAATAAGGCAATACTGAATTTGCACACAAGAATAGTAGTGCCACGCTCAATTTGTTTGAGGTTTTGCTTAATAACAAAAAGACAAATTGCTTGTAAAAGATTCTGGGGATAAGATATGCATGCACTAATTTTAAATAGCTTTCTACTGCAAATTCATTCGAATTCCTAACACTGAGCCAGTATTAAAGTAGGCTGACATGTCAACTTATCTCACGTATTAGCAGTGCTGGAGGATATTCATTTAATATACAAAGCAATCCAGACATCAGGACATAAGCAACTTTACCACAGCAATAGGTCTGGCAGGAGAGGCAGATTACAGATCCTGTCTGCTGAAGAGTTCCGTACAAGGGACCCAGAAGCAGGAGACAAGCCTTTTCTAACCTCCCTGAAATGAGGTTAGTCCCAAATCTACTGGCCTTCTGGAAATCTCCTTAAACATGATTTTTCGAACAGGCTTGGGGATTCCATAGGAAATAGAGAGCCTGAAGGACTGTTATATATGACTGCAACTGAAACCAGAATGTCCACTGCTAAGCAAGTCGATTGCTACTAAGTGACTCACATCCAGTTGTATGCATCTTTTTGCCATGGTTAAGCAAATCACTATAGTTGTTAAGTGAATCACGTGGCCATTAAATGAATCTGGCATCTCCCACTGACTTTGCTGGTCAGAAGCCCGTCGGAAAGATTGCACATAGTGATCACATGACCCCAGGATGCTGCAGCCATCCTAAATACATGCTGGTTGCCAATCTCCTGAACTCTGATCACATGACCATAGGGAGGCTGCAATACTTCTAAGTAGTGAGGATCAATCATAAGTCATTTCTTTCAGTGCCTTTGTAACTTTAAATGATGAATGGCTGTAACTCGAGGACTACCTGTATTATATATAGGATTTGGTTCGTTCTACCATGGTCTTCTTGGTATTTATGCTTAGTTGTTTTCAATGGATGCTTTAGACTTTTTAACTGTTTCATTGTATGCTAACAGAGTCATGTTTGTGAGATGGGAGGCTATACAGGGAGTCCTTGACTTCATTTAGTGACCGTTCGAAGTTACAACGGCACTAAAAAAAGTGACTTTATGAACATTTTTCACACACGACCTTTGCAGCATCCCCAGGGTCACATGATTTACATTCAGATGCTTGACAACTGGTTCATATTTATGATGGTTAGTGTCCTGGGGGGGGGGTCATGTGAGCCCCTTTTGCAACCTTCTAACAAGCAGCATCAATGGGGGAAGCCAGATTCACTTAACAACCGTGTTACTAATTTAACAACTGCAGTGATTCACTTAACAAATGTGGCAAGGAAAGTCGTAAAATGGCACAAAACTCAATTAACAAATTTCTCACTTAGCAACATAAATTCTGGGCTCAATTGTGGTCATTGGTCGAGCACTACCTGTTTGATAATTAAAGCAGATTGTGAGGCAAAAATTAAGAAACAACATTTGTTTCTTCTTCTTTCAAGTAAAATTTTAGACTTAATTATCTTACCTTTTTTCTCAGTTAAGAACACAGTGGAAGGCAGGAGAAATTCTGGATACAATACCTCCTCTAACAATGTGTCATGTGTCAATCTATTATTTAGACATTCATGAATGAAATAAAACAATCAATCTCATCTTTCTGCTCAAGGGACAGATTGTTCAACAGAAGGATGAAAATTCAATGCCGGTCTGGTTTTCTGAATTTACAGCTTTCTCTCTGAAATTTCTGACCCAGTGGATTATGGGTCAAAACTTTAGCTTTAAAATTTTTGACATTTCAACAGAGGCATTTGAAAAGGATTGCAAGTTGAGTTTTGCTTCACCAAACTAAAAATGTATATCCAGTGGGAGGTAAATAAAGCTATCTGTTTACAGGAAAATGGTTTTCAAACATTGGAACCTATCTGCCTTTCCACTATCTTCCTGAGATTGTCTTTCGTGGGCTAAAAGACACTTGTCAAAGGCTTACTGACTGCAGTACATTAAAGCAATCGTCTGCCTCTGATAAAGGCAAACATACTAGAAAAGGTATTGAAAATTACTGATGCAATGCACTGGTTCATTCATCCCTAAGAGCTACAACAAATCATTGCAAGATTTATAAGCTTTCACATTGATTGCCCCTAACTGTAAGGTCACTGGATCTGATCAGATGGCTACACCTGGTTGATGATCTTGTGTAGAACTGGAAACTATGCAGGACTGGATGCATCTTGCAGACAACCACAGAGTTGTAGACTATATTGAAATCAAAAGCACATCTAGAAAGAAGACAGTGACAAACCACTTCCACACTGTTGTCAAAAGAATACACGGATACATCCATGAAGTTGCCAGAGGCTGGCTTGAAAATTGTAGTTTCAAATACAAGTAAGCCTTTGACTTACAGCACTTCGTTTAGTGACCATTCAAAGTTGCAACAGCACTGAAAAAAGTGACTTATGACCATTTTTCATACTTAGACCGTTACAGCATCCCCATGGTCACATGAACAAAATTCGGAAATGGGTCCCAAAGCAAAGTTTGTGGTTGGAACATACAGTATCTCCAATTCTTATCCTCACAATCAAGTTCCTTTGGCGAATGTGAACAACTACTAAACATCAAGCATGCATGACATAAAGCCTGTTACTTATATTTGCAGACTGTTTTTACCCTGGAAAGCTTTTGGGAGAGAGAAAGATAATAGTTTCCTTCCCAACATGGTGCCAGCACAGATGCCCCACACTTTGCCAAAATTGTCAGCAGAGAACAGAAACCTGTACCAAACCAAGTTTCATGGAAATATCCTTCTCTTAACTGGGAGCACCCCAGATCCAGAACTTCAATTTTTTGGAGCTCTCATCAATAGCTACACTGCATAGGGAATTCAGGGAGAACATCCTGATTGGAGAAGATATCTATGTGCTTATCAAGAACAGGCTTACTGAAATCAATGAGAAGTTAGACACAACTAAGATAGGTCCACTGAAATTAAAGAACTTAGGTATGGTTGAATATAAGCATATGAAACACTCTCTGCATTCACCCTTCAAATTAAATAAGCATACTCAGAAAATTTAGTAGACTGCATATATGGTAACGTATACAAACTATACTTTTAAATCTTGCATGCTGGGTATTCAAAACCTTTCACACCCAGAAAACCAGTCACTGTAGATGTCCTTATTTTTACTGAAATCAAAATTAGCTTTCCTATGCTGCCCTGTTAGTTTAATGAAACTGACATGACAGGCTGTGATAATCAAGCCTGAATTTTCTGCATTATGCTATGTCACTTGTCTTGGATTAACACAAACCCTGTCACTTAGGGGATATTCTGCAAACTGTAATTAAAGCATACGTGGCTTGGATTATTTACAAACTAAGTCTGAATGTATGCATATTTCATAAAAATAGAAAAATGTAGCTTTCAAGATACAACCCTTACATATATTGTACAACAAAGGACAATTAGCTATCAAATCCCAAGTACTGGAGGAAGAAGGCTAGACCTTCCTACCATATTGTTATACATTTCTCTGGAGATACGTCAAGAATATGTTAAGCAAATGATACCAAGTTCAAGTCTGCTTTTGATCTAGCAAGATAAATATGACTGATCTAGCAAGAAAACAGAAATTGACTATATAGGACACTTTCTTCTGTTTTCTTTGTTTCTTCTAATATCTAGATGCAGTACCTGTTTCTAGAGTCCAATGAAGATGTCAGAGGACTACCTAAGCCCCAGGTATATTGCTGAAAATAATATTCCCATGAGAAAAAGGAAGCCTAAAACAAGTTTTACACATTGATGCCTGTATAAAGATTAACCTCGTCTCTGATTTACAATATATTCCATAACTATGGCAGTAAAGCACTGACATTTTACATTTGCTTAGTCTTATATGTGCTTATATGTAAATAAGTTCTATTTACCTGCATTTATTATATTATTATGCTCAGCAGCCTACTTATAATGAAACAAAATACTGTTCCTTGGGGCTTTTAATAAACTGAACAGGAAAGGAAAAATGATAAGATTTCTCTGGAAATGGCTACACTATTATAGTATTCCTGTCCTAAAGACAAGATAATATACATTACAAAGTTTGCAAAAGATTAATATGTCAAAAGTTTTACTTAGTTGTCTTTTTGAAACAGCTTTTTGTAAACTGCTATTTACCTGTATAAACAGTCCAGATGTAACTAATTTACATTTTCATAAGGAACTATAACTGTTATAAATATATTATGCAGGTGGCTTACTAAATTCTTGATCAAAGTTTTTACATAATCCTCTAATTCACAGTAGTCAGTTTTAGAGCCCACATAGTCTCTTTGTATAAAACTGAAAATTATGTTGCATTTTCTCAGTCAGAGTATATGTGTATCACACATCACATACAATACTGTTAACTTTCTGCAGAGTACTCTCATTAATTTGACTTACCCAACTTAATAAACAGAATTTATATAACTCACAAAATACAAGAACTTGGTGAATCCAATTCTCTAATTAATGATGTATAATGCTGCTAACACTTAGGAACAAAAGTCCACCAAGTGAAGTATCGTGTTGAACCAATTCTAAAACTAATCCTTGAGGAATGGTGCTTAACTTATTTGCAGTTGATATATTTGCAAAAAGGATTATGAAAACCTTTGCATATTTTCTGTGCTTAACTAAAGTACTCTCATCTCCCTTATTCCCAGTTTCTGATGTTTTAATGTATACAATCCCAGCTTAGTACGGAATGTTAGAAGTGATGTATGATACTTTTCTATCCATTTTAGGCAGCTGGTGAAATAGGCAGGAATTTTTTTTTTTTTTAAAAAAAAGCAAACACAATGCAGTAATATGAAGCAGCATTCAGCAGATTTGAAAGAATGTATGTTGGTGCATTCAAATTATATGAACACAGTCTTTCAAATCGATATGAACGTGAAACCTTGAA